TTTTTGAGAGGTTTTCGCTATAGGGCGCGTGTGCTCGCCAGACAGACAGAGAGAGACATTGAGACAGAAAGCGAGAAATCACCCCCAGGGGGGATGGTCACGCCGCAATCCCTTCTCCTCCATTCTCCTCTTGGGATCTTGGGCACGCATGCACACGGGCCCGGCGTGAGTTTTAAGCCACCGGGTCCAGGACGCGAACCGCGGTTGACTATGTGGGAGTCCAGCGACATAGCCATTACGCTAACTGCTGGTTCCCAAGATGACCTGTACTTCTGACCAACCAGTCACAAATTCAGGGATTCTTGCAAGCCACCACCACCCCCCGCCCCCGGTTTGATCATTTGTTATAATGACTCACAGAACTCAGGAAAACACTATACTTAAAATTGGCTTTATTATAAAGGATACAAATCAGAAGCAGCCGAATGAAAAGAAACATGAAGTCTTTGGGAGTGTCCCAAACACAAATCTGTCCTGTGCCCACAGAAACGGGGTACATCACCCTCCCAGCACATCCCTGTGCTTACCACCAGAAAGCTGACCACAGCCTGGGTCCGGAGTTCTTACTAGTTCCATTATATAAGCATGACTGACTGAAACCATAAACCGTGTAGTTGAACTCCAGTTCTAGCCTCCCTCTCCCCCTCCCTAGAGGTTAGTCTGATATCACCCAGCTCCAAGTCCCAACCCTTCAATCACTGTTTGGTTTTTCTGGCCTGGTCAGCCTCCGAGCTAAGTCAAATCATAGCATAAACCAAGGTGTGATCTGAGATCAAATCTCAGGGCCAGTTCCTTGGTCAGGTGGTGAAGGCAGCCAGATCCCACATGGCCAATGGCATGGTTTGAGCCCAGGATCTGGCGGCTTAAGAAATGTGCCATACACAGGGCCAGCAGGTGGTGTAGCGGGGAAGGTGCTGGACTCCCACATGGCCAACTGAGGCTCGAGTCTCAGACCTGGGCGCTTGAACTTCACACCAGGCATGTGTGTGCACATGCCCAAGATCCCAGGAGGAGAATGGAGAAGGGACTGCAGCGTGACTATCCGCCCTGGGAGGTGATTTCTCACCACCACTACTCCCCCAAAAAAAGAGGCTAGAGAGAGAGAGGGAGATCAAATCTCAATATAAACTTGGGAATGCTCTAAAGTCAATCTCAGTATAAACTCAAGTGTGTTTTGAGGGGCCACCAATGAAGACCCTCCTATCCCTTGGGGAACTCCAAGGATTTGGAATCTCCAGAGATTTAGTCTCCCCCTTGGTACTGAGGTAGGATGAAGGCTGGTCAAATTCTTTATTACACCATAAAGGATTGGGAGTGGGATTAGACTAAAAAGCTTATGATTTTGAAAGCTGGAGATGGCCTGTGTCCAGAAGTCCATGAGCGGACCATGTTTCTCACCAAGGTGGTCCAAGACATGCTCTCCTCCCAACTCGGCTCGCTTTCCCAGCCTTTACCAAAGGGGCACCCGGCCAGCCATTCAGTGGACATAAAAAAGTGAGTTAAGAGCCCAGGCCCCCATCTACCCCATGATCTGTCACCCACAGTGCCCTGAGTATCTAACTACTGACAAGACCCCTGACAGAGACCCTGCAGCTTTGGTGAGGCAACTAGAGATCTGTTACATCCATCCCCTCAACCACCCATGAGAACTCTCTGCACACGATGAAGAGGTCCGAGTGCGGGCAATCTGGCCAACCACTTCCTACCCGACATGCAAGAGGGGAAAAAATACCAAGACAAAAGAGTTTAGGAATGTTTAATGCTTAAAGTGAAAAATCACAGGATGGTTTTTTTATAAAACTCATTGGTCCATCTCTGACAGTGTAAGCACTGGCCCCTCACCCAGGCCATGGGGACTGGGGTGGAGGGAGGTTGGGGGACCTGGGCTTTTCCCAGCAAGGCCTTCAGAGTAGAGGGGCTTCCCTTGTAGTGCAGTGACTCCCCAGCCCAGGTGAGAAAGCAAGAACAGGGAGTAGGCACCCCTGTGCCAGGCCTATGCAAGGCACCTTCAAGTGTTATCTCAGTTAATCCTCACACCAACCCTAGGAGTCGGAGGCATCCCCATTTTACAGATGAGAATCCTGAGGCTTAGAGAGGTTAATCAATTTATCCATCATACAGTTTATAAGTCTCAAAGCTGGGATGAAATCCAGGTCTGACGTTCCAGCTCTGCCACACCAAATTCTCCCTCTAACCCAGCCTTAGTCTCCTGTAAGAAGTTCATTCTTGGGAACCAGCAGTTAGCATAATGGCTATGTCACTGGACTCTCACGTAGTCGACTACGGTTCGCGTTCCAGACCCGGTGGCTTAAAACTCATGCCGGACGCGTGTGCGTGCGTGCCCAAGATCCCGAGAGGAGAATGGAGGAGAAGGGATTGTGGCGTGACCATCCCCCCTGGGGGGTGATTTCTCGCTTTCTGTCTCAATGTCTGTCTCTGTCTGTCTGGCAAGCGCACACGCCCTATAGCAAAGACGTCTCCAAAAAAAACGTTGTTCATTCTTAACATCACATCCCATGCTCTGTCCTGGTTGTGAGGGAATGGGTCAGCTGAAAAAAAGTTACTCCGTAAGGCTGGGCAGGGACCCTGGCAAGATCTTTCCTCTGAGACAGCAGATATAGCTGAGAAGTCGCCGTCTGGGTCGCTCTCAGCGGCAGAGAGGCTCCCAAGGAAACGATGAGGTAGAGCAGTCCACAGGTGCCACCAGCCCACCCGCTGATTCTCTGCGGAGTCAGACGCCACAAGATACAGGGGACGATGCACAAGGAAGATCAGAAAGCAGGACTCAGGAGGACGAGCGGTAGTGTCAATGCTACCCGGGCAGATCGGGAGAGAGTCTGACAGGCCAAATGACATGATCCCTGCAGCCAGGGAGCCCGGCAGGACTTGCCGCCACAGTCGGGAGGTGTGCAGTTGGTCACCTGCTCCAGAATGACTCGGGCACCTTGCACGTGCCCTATGCCAGGCCCCAGGGGCACTCATTTCATTAGCAGTGGCAACAGTCCCAACTCATTCAGTCTCTCCTTGGCCACTGCCTCCCAGCCCTTGTTGGCCTGAGGGTTACGGGGAGAGGGATGCAGGAGCCCCTCCACCTGGACCTCTGGCATCAGGCCTGCCAGTGCCCGTCGTGCTCGCTGCTCTGCTAGTCGTCCCACGCCCACCACCAGCCGCACCCCCAGCAGCTGCACCTGCCGGCAGAGGGCCCCATCACAGATTCCAAGAAGCTGTTCCCGCTGCTTGGCTGGCAGATCAGCCGGGGTGAGGTTGCGCCCGCTGGCAGCCAGAAAGAGCAGAGGACACAGATTGTGGACAAAACAGTGACGAAAAAAGACTTCAGGCTGTCCACAGAGGTTCCGGAAAAACCCCCAGAATCGGGCACCGCTCACCTCGGAATGTGGGCAGTCTAGTCCCAGCACCGGTCGCTTAGGGTGCTCTTGAGGAGGGGTCAGCACAGGCCCCCCAATGCCCAACCAGTCCCGGACCATGCTCACTTCTCCAAAGGGCACCTGTGGGAAAGGAGTGAGATATGAAGGGCTTCAGACTGGAGACGTAGCCTAGCCCTGGGCCGATACGCTTTCCACCTTCCATAAGCCCAGACAGCTCCCGACCCCTACTTTACCCAAAGGCCTGAGACAAGGATTTCTGGCCCTGTGATTCTTATTTATTTATTTATTTTTGGAGAGGTTTTTGCTATAGGGCACATGCGTTCACCAGAAAGACAGAGACAGAGAGAAAGAAAGTGAGAAATCACTTCCCGGGAGGATGCCCACACTGCAATCCCTTCTCCTCCATTCTCCTCTCGGGATCTTGGGTACGCATGCATGTGCGCCCGGTGTGTTTTAAGCCACCGGGTCTGGAACACGAACCATGGTCGACTACATGGGAGTCCAGCAACAGCCATTACGTTAACTGCTGGTCCCATGGCCCTGTGATTTGATCCTATTCATCTTTGTCCAGTTTTTCATTATGGACCATGGCCCAGAAGAATCTGTTTGCTTCCACCTTTTCTAGCTTTGGGGACCAAGCATACAGGGATATCTGACCCTACTCAGGGTGTGATGGTTAGTACTAGAGATAGACAGATGGTTTGAGAAAGCCAGAGTTGGGCTGGTCCTCTTAGGCAGCTGTTAAGGGCTACGCATAGAAAGTTGGATCTCACCAGCAGTTAGCGTAATGACTATGTCGCTGGACTCCCATGTAGTTGACTGTGGTTCGAATCCCAAACTCAGTGGCTTAAACTCACGCCGGGTGCGTGTACGTGCATGCCCAAGACACTGAGAGGAGAATGAAGGAGAAGGGATTGTGGCATGGCCATCCCCCCTGGGGGGTGATTTCTCGCTTTCTGTCTCTCTGTCTCTCTCTGTCTGTCTGGCAAGTGCATGTGCCCTATAGCAAAGACTTCTCCAAAAAAAAAGAAAGTTGGATCTCACATGGCCAAGTGTTTCGCATCTTGGTCCCACAGCTTGAAAAACACACCAGGCACATATGTGTGCATGCCCCAAATCCTGATGGATGGACAAGTGGAGGAAAAAGGATTGTAGCATGACCATGCCCCACTGGTGTGAGAAATGCCCCTTCTTCTCTCTCTTTCTCTCGGTCAAGCACATGTGCCCTCTGGCAATTAAAAAAAAAAAAAAAGGCAGCCAGGGTTAAGGGAGGCACAAGGACAGGGCTGACCACTGCTCGGTGAGTGCCCTCTCAGCTCCAAGCCTCAGGCTGCCATTTCCATCGATCATCATTGATCACCTTTCATCACCCAGTTGGGGTCAATAAAAGCGATTGAGCCTCCTGCCCTGAAGCCTCTTCCCATCCCCCACCTGCCAGGCACCCCCACTGAGGGGTAGTCACTCATCCTGAGCTCTGAGAGGAAGCCAGGCTCTGTTCTGAACTTCTCAGCTGAGAAACGGAAGCCAGGTCACCAGAATGCTCTGCATCTCTTACACATACTCACCCCTGCTAAGAGTCCCCCCTGGGAACCCGGCAGTCTCAGTCTCTCTTTTGACCCCACCCACACTCCAGGGACAGGGGAGATCCAGCAAGGAAAAGTAAGGGTGAGGCTGGCGGAAGGAAGGGCTCTCAGAGGCAATTAGTGGACAGCTCACAGGGGAAACGGAACTATCATTAATGTACTTGGTTAACTATGGGCAGAGAGGCCGAGAGAGCGTCTGAGACCACAGGAGCCAGTGTGTGTACTGGAGGAGGCGGGGCGGGGGCCCACACATATCCACAGCCATGTACCTGCTCCTCCTCCACTGCACACCCAGCCAACCTCCCACCTTGGGGCCTCCCACTCCACCCATCGGGGCAGCCAGGCCCTTTACCCCAGTTTGGGCCATGCCAAAAGGTCCCGGGTTCATGCCCAAAAAGAGCACTTCCTTGGGGCCCTGGCAGTAGCGAGTCACGTAGCTGCGATGTGGCTCCCACGCATACTCCACGGGATTATAGACGATGCCCACAGGCTCTGAAAACTGCAGTTGGCTCAGCTCAGCATTGAGCCGAAGCTCCTCTTCCAGGAAGCCCTCAGCCAAGCTTCGAAGGCACAGCTGGGGCTCCATCAGGGAATCTGCAGGCTCATGGCGGGGCCCTAGCAGGAAAACCTAAGGCACAGCCATGCTGCTGCCACCTGGAAAAGACAGACAGAGTCCCCATCATCCCTCAGCCCAAGAGTAGGAAGGATCCTGGCTGACCCCAGCCCCTCCTACCATGTCCTTGGCCCAGAATAGACTCTAGGAGACCATGTCAGTCACCCACCAACTGCCAAGCAGGCTGAGTTCATCTCAGTTCTTGGTAATGAAGGGTTAACCCCCTCCCCACTTCTGGTATCCTTCCTCTTCATACACCTGGTGAGAACGAGCAGAAACCACCAACCATCCCCTACTTCAAACCTCCTTTCCATCAGCAACTGACCTGGGTCACAAGTTCCTAGGCCATGCTGACCACACAGTAGGTTTTTTTTTTTTTTTTTTTTT